GTTTGTCCAAGGACTTTCTGAGCCTCATGCTCTGCCAGGGAGCAGAGAAGCCGGGAGGAAGCAGAGACAGGACACCTGACCCAAACTGACCAAAGAGGTATTCCATACCACAGCACGTCATGCCTAAGATGTAACGGAGAGTTACCCGGAAGGGCTAGGACTGCGGGGTTGGAGAAGGTATCGGTTGATGCTTGGTCAGGCTGGGGGGGGGGGGGCGAGTTATCTGTCAGATGGTGGTGAGGTGTTGTATTCTCTTCCCTTGTTATTTTCTTTATCATTATTATTATTGGTGGTAGCAGTAGTGGTTTGTGTTATACCTTAGTTACTAAACTGTTCTTATCTCAACCCGTGGGAGTTGCATTCGTTTTGATTCTCCTCTCCGTCCCTCCAGGAGTAGGGGAAGGGCAAGAAGGGGGGGGAGTGAGTGAATGAGCTGTCTGGCTGGGTTTGAACCACGACACCTCTCATGACTGAGAGACATAACAAAGGATGGTTTTTGCCACAGTATATTCGGCAGAGTATATATGTTTATGTTCATCATGACTGTTTGTCTGAAAGAGACAGGAAAACAGAGGTGTACAGCTGTTCTATGACCTTCATACTTGGCTGCACTAGGGCGCCTGGCCAATGCTCTCAGAGTGGACAAGGTGAGATCATGAGAAACTGCATGGCCCCACGAGTAAACAGTTAGAGATCTGGCACATAGCCAGTTATTTTGATAAGGGTATAAAAGAAGGACCCTCTTGTGGTCCCCCACTCACTCTTTAATAGCCCCATATAGCCAGTGCAAAAGTCTAACGGAGAGTGGAGACTAACAGTAGACTATCGGGGCCTGAATGAAGTCACACCACCATTGAGTGCTGCCGTACCGGACATGCTAGAACTTCAATATGAACTGGAGACAAAGGCAGCCAAGTAGTATGCCACAATTGATATTGCCAATACATTTTTCTCAATTCCTTTGGCAGCAGAGTGCAGGCCACAGTTAGCTTTTACTTGGAGGGGTGTCCAGTACACTTGGAACCGACTGCCCCAGAGGTGGAAACAGACCTACCGTCTGCCATGGACTGATCCAGACTGCACTGGAACAGAGGCAAGCTCCAGAACACCTGCAATACATTGATGACATTACTGTGTGGGGCAAAACAGAATCACAGAATCACAGAATGGTTAAGGTTGGAAAGGACCTTAAAGATCATCAGCGGAAGAAGTTTCTGAGAAAGGGAGGAAAATAATCCTAATCCTGCTGAAAGCCGGCTTTGCTATAAAACGGAGTAAGGTCAAGGGACCTGCACAAAAGATTCAATTTCTAGGAATAAAATGGCAAGACTGACGTTGCCAGATCCCCACAGATGTGATCAACAAGATAACAGCAATCTCTCCACCAACTAATAAGAAACACAAGCTTTCTTACGTGTTGTGGGGGCCTGGAGAATGCACATACCAAATTACAGTTTGATTGTAAACCCTCTCTATCATGTGACCCAGAAGAAGAATGATTCTATATGGGGCCCTGAACAACAACAAGCTTTTGAACGAGAGATAGTTCATGCAGTACCCCTTGGATCAGTCCGGACAGGGCCAGATGTGAAAAACGTACTCTACACCACAGCTGGGGAGAATGGTCCTACCTGGAGCCTCTGGCAGAAAGCTCCAGGGGAGACTTGAGGTTGACCCTGTGGCTTTTGGAGACAGGGATACAGAGGATCCCAGGCAAGCTATATTCCCACTGAAAAAGAGATACTGGAAGCCTATGAAGGGGTTTGAGCTGCTTCAGAAGTGATTGGCACTGAAGCACAGCTCCTCCTGGCACCGAAGCACAGCTCCTCCTTTCACCCCGGTTGCCCATGCTGAGCTGGATGTTCAAAGACAGGGTCTCCTGTACACATTATGCAACTGAAGTTACATGGAGTAAGTGGGCTGCACCAATTACACAATGAGCTTGAATAGGAAATCCTAGTTGTCCAGGAAATCTAGAAGTCATCATGGATTTGCCAGAGGGCAAAGATTTTGGAATGTCACCAGAGGAGAAGGTGATGCGTGCTGCAGAGGCCCCACCATATAATAAACTCTCAGAAAGTGAAAAACAATATGCCTTGTTTACTGATAGGTCCTGCCCTATTGTGGGAAAGCATTGGAGATGGAAGGCAGCTGTATGGATTCCCTGAGGACAAGTGGCAGGAACTGATTGAGAAGAGGGTGAACTGAGTCAGTTTGCCGAGGTGAAAGCCATCCAGCTGGCCTTGGACATTGGTGAATGAGAAAAATGGCCAGTACTTGGTCTCTCTACTGACTCATGGGTGGTGGCAAATGCTCTGTGGGGGTGGTTGCAGCAATGGAGGCAGAGCAATTGGCAACACAGAGGTGAACCCATCTGGGCTGCTGCCTGGGTGCAGAACCTGGTGGTGAAGGTATGCTATGTACCTAGGTGTTGGGCCACTGAGGAACACCAGAACAACCAACAGGTGGATATAGCTGTTAAGACTGAAGTGGCTCAGATGGACTTAGATTGGTAACATAAGGGCCAATTATTTTTGGCCCTGTGGACACATGACACTTCAGGCCATCAGGGCAGAGATGCAAAATATAGGTGCGCTCGTGATTGAGGGGTGGATTTAACAATGGACACTTGCCCAGGTTATTCACAACCGTGAAACATGTGCTGCACTTAAGCAAGCCAAGCAGACTTCTTCTACCAATACAGTCCCTAATGAAGAGTCCCTCCCCAGCATCCCTATAGGCCCCCTTCAGATACTGGAAGGCTGCTATGAGGTCTCCACGCTTCTCCAGGCTGAACAGCCCCAAAGTTCTCAGCCTGCCATCATATGGGAGGTGCTCCAACACCCTGATCATCCTGATGGCCCTCCTCTGGAATTGTTCCAACAGTTCCATGTCCTTTTTATGTTGAGGACACCAGAACTACACACAATACTCCAGGTGAGGTCTCATAAGAGCAGAGTAGATGGGCAGGATCACCTCCTTCGACCTGCTGGTCACGCTCCTTTTGATGCAGCTCAGGATATGGTTGGCTTTCTGGGCTACAAGCACACACTGCTGGCTCATGTTAAGTTTCTCATTGACCAACACCTCCAAGTCCTTCTCTGCAGGGCTACTCTGGATCTCTTCTCTGCCCAACCTGTAGCTGTGCCTGGGATTGCACAGGTGTAGGACCTTGCCCTTCGCATGGCTAAATTTCATGAGGTTGGCAACTACCCACCTCACAAGCGTGTCAAGGTCCCTCTGGATGGCATTCCTTCCCTCCAGCATATCAACCAAACCACACAGCTTGGTGTCATCAGCAAATTTGCTGAGGGCGCACTCAATCACACTGTCCATGTCACTGACAAAGATGTTAAACAAGACGGGTCCCAAAACCGATCCCTGAGGGACACCACTTGTTACTGGTCTCCAGCTGAACATTGAGCCATTGACCACAACTCTTTGCATGTGGCCATCCAGCCAGTTCTTTATCCACCTAGTGGTCCACCTATCAAATTGATGCCTCTCCAAATTAGATATAAGGATGTCGTGTGGGACAGTGTCAAATGCTTTGCACAAGTCCAGGTAGATGATGTCAGCTGCTCTACCTCTGTCCGTCAGTTATGTAGCCCCATCATAGAAGGCCACCAAATTGGTCAGGCAGGATTTCCCCTTAGTGAAGCCATGCTGGCTGTCACCAACTACCTTGTTTTTCAAGTGCCTTAGCATGCCTTCCAGGAGAATCTGCTCCAAGATTTTGCCAGGCACAGAGGTGAGACTAACTGGTCTGTAGTTCCCTGGGTCATCCATTTTCCTCTTCTTGAAAATGGGGGTTATATTTCCCTTTTTTCAGTCATCGGGAACTTCACCTGACTGCCACGATTTTTAAAATATGATGGACAGTTGCTTAGCAACTTCATTTGCCAGCTCCTTCAGGACCCGCAGATGGATTTCATCAGGTCCCATGGACTTGTGCACATTCAGGTTCTTAAGATGGTCTTGAACCAGATCCTCTCCTACAGTGGGCCTAAGGTCTTCATTCTCACAGTCCCTGCATCTGCCTTCCAAGACTTGGGTGGTATGGTCAGAGCATTTGCCAGTGAAGACTGAGGCAAAGAAGTCATTAAAAACCTCAGCTTTCTCCAAATCCTGTGTTGCTAGTTCTCCTGATAGCTTCCTCAGCAGCTCCTTATCCATCCAAGGAGGTCTCCTGGCCCTCCTGCTGCACTTCCTTATAGTCTGGATGCAACACCCCTTAGCTTGTATGTGGTGATCCTGGAATATCAACCAACAGTCTTGGGCCCCACTGCCCTATAGGGGCCATGGAACCTTACTAAACAGGTTCCTGAAGAGGCCAAAGTCTGCTCTCTTTAAGTCCAGGGCAGTGAGCTTGCTGCATGCTCTTCTCACTGTCCTGAGGATCTCGAACTCGACCATCTCATGATTGCTACAACCAAGACTGCCCTGGAGCATCACATTTCCAACCAGCCCTTCCTGTTGGTGAGCATGAGGTCAAGCATGGCACCTGTCCTTGTCAGCTCCTCTATTACTTGCAGGAGGAAGTTGTCTTCCACACAGTCGAGGACCCTCCTGGATTGCTTGTGCAGGGCCGTACCGTCCCTCCAACAGATATCAGGGTGGTTGAAGTCCCCCATGAGATCAGGGGCCTGTGAACATGAGGCTGTTCCTATCTGTCTATAGAGTGCTTAAATTATTATTATTATTAGTGGTAGTAGTAGTAGTAATTTGTGTGGTACCTTAATTACTGGACTGTTCTTTTCTCAACCCCTGGGAGTTACATTCTTTTGATTTACCTCCCCATCCCATTGGGAGTGGATGAAGAAGAGTGGTTGCATGATTCTGACTTACTAGCTGGGCTTAAACTATGACAAATTGCCAGAGTGTGTGGCATAGGTAGATGCCCAGGACCCCCTTCACCCACAGGCACTGCTCACACCAGGAGATGCTACTCAGAATAACATGGGTGGAGAGGGAGCCAGGAGGAGGAGCAGGACACTCACCGTACAGCATCAGGCTCTACTTGGCTGCCCCCCCACAGGCTCCTTGTCGGTTTGACACAGGTAAACCAACTGCTTCATGCTCTCCTTGGCCTGCAGAAGGGACAAGGGGATGAGTTTGGCTTTGAGCAGGGACATGGCCCAGAGGGGAAGGGAGCCCAGGGCACTGCAGCCCCATGGTGCAGGAATATCCCTGGTTTTGTCCCTTCCCTCCCCACTTCCCTTCCTGCCCTTTCCCTGCCTGCTTCTCTAGCATATCTGGGGCAACCCCAGCTCCCCTATCCAGGAAGCTGGTGTATCTGGAGTTACCAGCCACATGCAATTCCTCTTGCTCCAGAGGATGCACCTCAGCTGCCTTCTCCCCACATCGCTCTCACTTTCAGGCAGCCTAGCGCTGCACACCCCGCCACGCACGTCTGCACCTCCTCCAGCTGTTCCAGGTAGCATATGGGGGCCTGGGGTAGAATGTGGGGGTCAGTGCCAGCACCCTGCAGAGCTGCGGGGCAGCACCCACATCCCACCTCATCCCTGGCTATCCTGGCACGTACCCATTGTCAGAAGAGGGGGCTCTCCGTCAGGCTGCAGAGCTGGGCCAACACGATGATCACCACCTTGCTGTTGCCCTCCACAAGGAGCAGGCTCAGTGCTTTCAGTCCCTCCTTCTTGAGGTGGCCCTCAGGCATGTGCTTCAGGGCACACGATACCATGTCCTGGTCATCCGAGTTGAGGTTCTGCACCAGAAGTGCTGCAAGGAACTGTGGGCTGAGCTGGGGTGCATGGAGCCTGGCTGCACTGCCCCTCTGCCACAGGGAACCCAGCCCTGGCACCCTGCAACCGTGCCAGGCAGAGGTGTCCCCACACAGGCTGCCAGTGCATGGGGGCACCCAAGCCAAGGTGCTGGGGATCTACAGCAAGGACCCAGGGTGCTCGGGAAGGAAGCAGGGGAGTGGGCTGTGCACCAGATCAGAACTTGCACACCCCAAGGATGGCTGAGCCTCTGGGGGATTCCCCAGGACAGCCATGGTGGTACTGCAGTGTGATCCCCTATGGCGATGCTCCAGCACCCCATAGAATCATAGAATCACAGAATAGTTTGGGTTGGAAAGGACCTTCAAAGGTCATCTAGTCCAACTCCCCTGCAATTAGCAGGGACATCTTCAACATCTTCATGCCAGGGCCTAGGGAGTGTAGGAGGGCACCCACCTTCCTCTGCCAGCTCCATCATGTAGGTGTCAAGCACCAGGGCACCAAGCGACTCAAAGTGGCCCCAGTACTGGAAGATGATGACCTGCTCGCCCTGGGTGCTGCTGGGCTGTCGGGGCAGCTGCCAATTCAGCACATCCTCCACCAGTTTCACACAAACTGTGGGAAAGGACTGGGGTCAGGGTGTGCAACAGCCATGGCCACCCCTCTGTGGGGCTCCTGGCACCCATAGGCCCTCATGCATGGTCACTGTGTGGGGCTGGTAACTCCCCAAACACCCCTGTGCTCACTGGCATCAGTCAGGCCAGGGTGCTGCTCACTGATGGGTGCTGTGTACTGTGTGCTGAGCATCTGCAGGAACCACTCCACAGGGCAGGAGTAAATGTTGGGGGCTTCCACACAGCAGTCCCAGAGGGGCAGCACGCCCTCCTTCCGTGTCAAGAACTGCACCACTTTGGGGACAGGTGCTGTCAAACCCCCCTGGGCCACTGCAGTGGGCAGGGGACTCCTGCCCTGTGGCTGGTACAGCCCCTCACTGCTCAGTGTGTCCATGACAGTGGACACCGCACCATACACAGCCGCCAGTGTGGTCCCCTTGGCCAGGTGGCTTTACCTTCAGCAGCAGAGGCAGCTGCTTCTGCTTGCTCCTCTGTGAGCTGGCACACAGTCTCCAGAACCTGGGCCTCCCACAGCAGCCTGTCCAGGGCATACATCTCCTGGCACCGCAGGGGACTGAAAGTGCCCAGTTTCTGCAAGGCATAGCCAAAACAGGGACCTCAGGGACAGAGCTCACTGCACACACCACATGCTGCGGCAAGATACCCCTTGAGGGGGGACCCACAGACCACCCTAGTGCTTCCATCCCCAGGACATCTCCTGCCCCTATCCTCACCAGCAGCAGGTGGTTGCTGTTGAGGTGAAGCACCAGGGCCTTATCCTGGAACTCATTGCCAGTGCTCAGGGGGTCGGTGCTGGCCTCAGAGCCACTGCACATGCTGGTGTCATCTGCACTGGTCTCACGAGTGCTGGGGACCCTGCTGCCACACCGTGGTCTTCCAGCCCTCTTGCGAGCCAGGGAGAGATAGAGACAGCAGATCAGCACAGGAAACCTGGACCTGGACATACCCCAGGGGAATTCTGTAGGACCTACAGTATCACAGCAGGAGGGCTGGGCAAAGGAGCAGGTCCCAGGGGCATAGGGTGTGGGAGCTGCCTCCCAGCACATCAATGGAGAGATGCAGGGTGGCACTGTGCCACCAGAATCATAGAATCACAGACTGGTTTGGGTTGGAAATGACCTAAAATCATCTAGTTCCAACCCCCTGCCATGGCCAGGGACACCTTCCACTAGACCAGGTTGCTCCATGCCCTGTCCAACCCGGCCTTGAACAGATATGGAGCATTCACAACTTCCTTGGGCAGCCTGTTCCAGCCCACCACTCTCACAGTAAATAATTACTTCCTTATATCTAACCCAAATCTCCTCTATGTTTGAACCCACTGCCCCTTGTCCTGTCACTCCAGGATCCTTATAGGCCCCCTTCAGATACTGGAAGACTGCTCTGAGGTCTCCATGCAGCTTCTCTTCAGGCTGAACAGCCCCAAATGTTCTCAGACTGTCTTTATATGGGAGGTGCTCTAGAAGGGCCAGATCCTGTTGCTTCTCAACCTGGACCTGCCCTGAACTGTGATGGGCTGGTCTAAATGTGCTTGGGCAGCCTGGCAGATCTGGGTATCCCTCATCCCAACTGCCCCCAGGCCACATCCTGCCCTGTGCCGCATCCCATAACCCTGCTGTGCAACTCTCGTCTTGGAGAGGCTCCTCCTCAGAGCCCTCAGAGTTCCCCATGTCTGAGGTGTTGAGGAAGCTACTCTCCAGCGCATGTTCCACCATCAGGCTGATGGTGGAGGCCTGGCTGAGGAAGACGCCTTGCTTCTGCTGCAGAGGAAGGCATGTCAGGGTCAGCCCTGTCAGCCAAGACAGCTCTGCCACCTGCATCCCCAGGCATCACCATCAGGAATCACAGAATCCCAGACTGGTTTGGGTTGGAAGAGACCTTAAAGGTCATCTAGTTCCAATCCCCTGCCACGAGCAGGAACACCTTCCACTAGACCAGGTTGCTCCAAGCCCTGTCCAACCTGGCCTTGAACAGTGCCAGGGTTGGGGCAGCTACAGCTTCTCTGGGCAACCACCCGCACAGGGAAGAATTTCTTCCTAAAATCTCATCTCAATCTCCCCTCTGTCAGTTTAAAGCCATTCCCCCTTGTCTTGTGAGACAAAGGGGCACAAAATCACAAAATAGAATATAGAAACCTTTATAATTAGTTTTAAGTAATTTTAAGTTTGATGGCTTTGTAACAGTAGCAATGGAAAATGACTGAGGTGCATGATACATAGAGAAAAAAAATAGAGTACAGCAAGAGAACATACTGAGAATTCTCACAAGATAAATTGTTATAGTTGGCCTAGTTTTAAGAAAAACAGTCTAGAAGAACAGGACACAGGGATAAGGAGCATCTGGGAACCGCAGGTGTCCAGGATGGGCTACAGTTAAACTAACTGATAAGTAGGAGGATAGGAGGATTATTATGTCTCTGGTGCTAATGAACCAATTAAACTGGTATGAGCATCTACTGCGCATGCTTCAAAGGCTGCCAGAAGTGATGGAGATTGTTGGAAGAAGTAAATGACACTCAGAGACCACCACCACAATTCTGTAAGCATGCAGGGAACTCTCTGGAAAATGATGTAATCCATACGTAGCCTCATGAATATGTGTGTATGCCCAGGGACTATATAAGGATGGCTTGTATAGCAATACGGGGACACAAGTTAGGAGGAGTTATCCCCCGTGTCTCCCGGCGCCGCAATAAAGAATACCTGCTTGTCAGCTTGAAAACTTTGTTGGCAAGTTTGTTCCTGGAGTTTTCTCCAAATCACCTGCCCCTACAGGCCCTTGTTAAAAGCCCCTCTCCAGTTTTCTGATTGTAAAATGGCCCTGTCCCCATTATCCCTTGGCACTAACATCAGAGGTGGCTCCACTGCCCTTGTCCCCAGGCACTGCCAGCTCTGTCCCCATCATCCCCAGACACTGCCAGCCAGGACAACCCCTTTCCCCCTTGCTCAGGGCACTGTGGGGAGCCCCTCAGCAGCAGCATCTCCTCCAGGTGCTTGAGATCCTGTCCAAGGGGCTGCAGCTCTGGAAACTGCCCCTGACAGTCATCCAGGGCTGGGCCCAGAAGGCCAATGGCCTCCTCCAGGTCTGAATCCACCACCTTCCCCCAGGGCACCTTGGGGACTCTGGTGGGCAGCAGCATGGTGGGGACCATGCTCTCCTCCATGTCAATTTGGCGACCCAGGTGGGACCCTCTCTGCTCGGCTGCAGGACCCGCTGAGGACAGGGCTCCCTAGGGCCCTCGGGAGTTTTTCCCGGAGGGACCCCTCAACTCATTCGGATCACTGCCGGAGCAGACAAGGACCATCTCATAAAAGGTATTCTTTTTTTTGTATAGTCTGTAAGGTGCAGGGGGCACCTCGGTTTGGTAAATTGGTTTGGTAAATTGGTTTGGTAAATTGGCTTGGTAAGCGTACGCATGGTTTGGAAGCCTTCCGTAAATCGAGATAAGAAATCTCGTAGGTAAAGGCGTATACCCGGCTGCTAGCGTCCGTTCGGTATACACCCACAAGAAGCAGGGGGCTTCTTGTGGTTTGGGTCCTGCAAGACGCAGGGGGTGTCTTGCAGAAAAAGGTTTTGGATTTTACTGGTATACACCCAAAGGAAGCAGGGGGCTTCTTGTGGTTTGGGTCTTGCAAGATGCAGGGGGTGTCTTGCAGAAAAAGGTTTTGGATTTTACTTGTATTTGATTTATTTTGTGGCTTGTTATATTAAGGATTTTGGTCTTGTGGTTTTGGTATCAGTGACAGACTGTTATAATTAAGCAGGGGGTATCATCTTGTGATTTAGGTCCTACAAGACACAGGGGGGTGTCTTGTGGAAATGGTTTTGGGTCCAGTGTGCTATCAACAGCCCATAAGGGATTTGATTCAGTGATGCTGTCAGCGGGGGTCCCTGAATAGGTTAGTAGAATCACCCTCCGATACAGTGGGCTGTTCAGTATGGTTCCCACAGTGGGACGCAGACAGGCTGGTCGGACACAAGGGTCTCATCCTTCCTGGGACACTGACAGGCTGGTCAACTATAAAGGGTTCAAGGAAACCCCCCTATTAATGTTACAATATGGTCTGAGCTATAAGGGTTAGGAAGTATTGCTTTTGATTCTACTGGTATTCGCTTATTTTGTGGCTTGTTACAGTAATGATTTTGGTCTTGCGATTCTGGTACTGGTGACAGGATGTTATAACTATGTTATTAACTGTTGTTTGTTTGGTTGAATTTAAGTCTCTGTCTTTGTCTCAAGTGTTGTAACTGTGTGGAGTATGTCTGGGGATCCCATCTCTGTGTGTGTGTGTGAATGTGAGATTGATAATGGAAAACCAGCAGAGTGAAGAGATCTTGAAAAAGAATCCTTTTGGGTGCATTTTGGCACACTGGAAAAAACTTGGAGGGTCTCCTGGGGGCTTGGTAAATAAGAAAATATTGGTAAAATATTGTAACCAATGGTGGCACTTTGTATACTTTGGAAGATCAGGGAAAATGGCCTAAAAATGGAACTCTGAACTATAATACATTGTTACAATTGATGTTGTTTTAAGGGGGCAAGGAAAATGGGATGAAGTAATGTATGCAGGTACGTTTTTCACTTTAAGAAATCACACAGAGTGATAGACTGAATGCAAAATTAATATAGCTCCACCAGATTCCTTAATTTTGGCTTTGGAAAAGGACAGGGAAAAACTGAAAGTTACGCTGGAGATGCTCAGCCTCTGATATTGGGGAAAGATGTTTAAAGTTAAAAAACAGTAATCAGGAAGATAGGGTGGAAAATCACGTACCACAGGTACCTCCGAGAGGAACACCCTCTGCCTCTGTCCTATCTGATATTGATAAGGAGGAAGAGATTTCTGTCACTGGCAACCAGTGGCACATCCACATTCAGAGTTAAGAAGGGGTTAAACCAGAAGTGCCGTTGCAGGGCAGGCATCTGCAGGCCCTGCAGAGCAGGGGGAGCTGCTGTGAGAAAAAGAAAAAAAAAAAAAGGAAAACCAAGGGGGAAAGGAGGGGAGCTCGAGCAGCTCCAGTGTTTGAGCGTGGGAGGAGGGATGTCTGCAGGAGGTGGGGGAGTGGGCTCTTCTCTTCTGTGGGACCGGACCGGTGTGCATGCTATGGGGGGTTTTGGACGCTGGAAGTGAGACTGCCTGGGGAGGGCAGTGCCATGGAGTGGCTCCGGTGACTGAACTGGAACTAAACTGACGGGGACCTGGGGAATCTACCCTAGCAGATCCACTGGTTACATTAAGACTATGAACTAGGGGAAATAAAGTGGAATTTTAGTGGATACAGGAGTAACTTATTTGGTGTTAAATAAGAGAGAAAAGAATTCGTTACAGATGTGGGAGCTACTGGCCACCAAGGAAAAGAGGAAAAAAAAAGAAAAAAAAAAAAGGCATTCTTTTTGGAACCTTTAAAGTACAAATTGGGAAAACAAATCGGAATGCATAAATTTTTATGCATGCCAAATTCTCTAAAATCTTTGTTAGGGCGAGAAGCAACATTTAAAGAAGGCAAAATGGACTTCAGAGTTAAAAACAATTAATTGCAGTTTTGAGTTTAATTCAACAGAAAAGCAAAAAGGAGGACCTCCCTGAAATAGAAGAAATCCTTAATCAGGTGTATGTGGGAGTATGGGCACCTGAAGTTCCAGGTAAGGCGAAAAATGCTTTGCCTGTTATAGTGGAAATAAAAAGGGGGGGCCTACCCAATTAGAATAAAACAGTATCCCTTAAAATTAGAAGATCAAAGGGAATAAAAAAATTGATAAATTTTAAAATATAGATTATTAATTGAATAATAATCAAAAATGGTTTGCCGTCCTGGATTTAAAAGACACTTTCTTTTGCTTACCACTGGCCAAAGAAAGCCACAATTATTGGCTTTTAAATGGGAAAATCCTGACAGAGGAAGGGAAACTCAATTAACTTGGATAGTTTACATAAAGGGTTAAAAAAAAACAAACAGTCCAGCAATTTTTGGAAATCAGCTAGCATGAGAACTAGAATCATGGAAGCCACCTACTCAAACGGGACTCTGTTACAATATGTGGATGACCTGTTAATTGCTAC